TTTTTCCCCATCCCAGTCTTGAACCTCAAGCCTGGCTCTCTGTCCCTTCTCATTGCTGGAGGGGATGGGAGAGAGAGGCTGCTGCATTGTGGTTGGCTGCCAACCAGGCCCAAACCACGACAAGAGGCCACCGAAGGGCTCATCCTGCTGGGAAGCTTGGATCAGAACACAGCACCAAACCCAACCAACCTCCAGACCGCTTTCAGACCGCTTCCTCCACTCTGGCACTTACCCACTCTGGTTGGGAAAGCATTTGAAAAATAATTCTGAAGGTTATGCTAATTCAAAGCATGCTTATCATACTTTTCTATCAATGCCTATCAAGCTATTCAGGACTTATTTTCAGGAAAGGACATAAATCAGTGTGTTATATGCACCATGGCAGCACTGCCCATGCTAAATCATGGCCCTTAGAATGGGATCAATTAATAGATTTACTGTTATAATCACTTCTGGAGACAGCCAGACTGCATTTCAGTCTAATGAACGTTCACTGTTAACTTCCACGTGATGTTGACATAAATCTGTTCGGTTCATGGAAAAGTCTATTCCAATCATATACAACTTGTCAAATTTAAAAAATTTTTTTAGAAATATCCCTCACAATTTAAAATACAAAATTTCTACTGTGAAACTATATAGCATTTCTATTATTTACTGAGGGAAGTTTAACAAGTTGCTTTCTTTCAGTATTTTATATCTCTAGCAGAGTCTAAAACTATACCTTCACAGATAAAGCAACCCTGGAGCTACTACTGCAACATGGCCTCTAAACACTGTGTAACTCCAATCAAACAAAACAGACAACGCCCATCACAACAGGGTGTCTGAGTGTGTGAGTATGTATCCGAAGAGAGACAGAGTAGGATTTCAAGGGTGCTGAGTAACCACAACTCTAGGTCAGTGAGCAGGGTCCAAAAGACAAGACAACAATCCAAACTGTGAAATGTGAAGTTGGGTATCGTCCACTCAGATGTAAGTGCTATGAACTGCTAATCCTGTGAAGAGATCTATAGATGTTGAAAGCTGGCCTCCAAGACCAGAACTTTGTTCAGCTGACAGTTTCTTTTGTTGTCAGCTCCAAAATGAAGTCTTTGCAGAACAAAAATGAAAACTGAAGAATTTCCATTGTAAAACATCATTATTATTCCTTCTCTTTTTTAGTTATTTGAGATTAAAAGCTAAAAACATTCCTATACTAACACAGGACTGGAGTTTGAATTATATCCTGCATTGTTTTAAGTAATACTGTGTGACATATGTAATCTAAATTTTCTTGGCACATTTTTAGGCTGAGAGGAACACCACAGCATTCCAAGTCAGGACAATGCCTACATATCAGGTTATACTACTATAAGAGATGGGTTCAATTAAAATTACCTATGGACATAAATGAATTCTCAAGAGTTCTTGTCATCTTCATTATTTATATAGGAAAGCACTTAAATGGAAAATTTAAGGAAACAACGTGCTAAGCTAGGTATATTCTCTTCATCTTTTTAAGTAAACTGACCTCAAACTCTCTAGGCATGTCTAATGGTGCAGTTTTGAAAACCAATTGCACTGCACTACACAGTATTGAAACCATCACAGATACAAAAGTCTGGCCCACAGCTGTACGTTTCAGTATTGCAGGGGATCTAGATAGAAATTACCTTGTTCTAATCCCCTTCAAAAAGGTTTTGAGCAGACCAGTCTCCTTACTGATTGTCCCCCTACCTCTAAATCCCTGGCGTTCCAAAGCAAAGCTCTGCCAAACACCGAGCCTACTACAGCCTTAGGAAACGATGGCTGCGTTGTTAAGCAGCACACTGGGATCTCTGTAGCTTCTCCTTTGTAAAATCCCAGAGGCCCTGCACACTGTTTACAGCCAGCTGATGTGGCAGCAGGTACAGCTTCCACTCCCAAAGTTTTGCCACTGCTGCCCGACTGTGTCCTGCACAAGTTACAGCATCCCCAAGAACCTGCCTCCACTGAGCTCTCGCAATTGTAAATCCAGTTTCTCTGTTGTCCCGTGTCACCACAGCTACTGCATTGCTAGGCATTTTTTTTTGGCTAATAAATTCCAAAGTAAAAATGATAGTGACACGCTGTAAAAATAAAAAACAGTAAATCATGTGTGAAAGTTTTATACATAGAACAGATCGTTATTATTTCATCCCTTTCCTAACCCTTAAACTTTACACAATAACCGCTCAGCAAGCATGCCAGAATCTGAAAGCAACAAAATATTTCAGACACAATGGACACGGGAGAGAAGTAGGGAGGCAGCTTTAATTAAAAAAAAAAAAAAAAAAAAAAAATTCTGATTAAACAATGCAAGCCCTGCCCAAAGATCCAGGCTGCCACACGCACTGTGCAGCCTGTACTCTGATTCTGCCTCAGCAAACAGCCCTCCCCCAGCAGTCTGCCCCGCGCAGTCCCAGCTCTCTTCCCAGGACACAGTCCTCCCACCAGCATCACTGGGGCACATGCTTCTCCCCTGTGAGCTCCTTCCCGGCCCTGTGAACCGCCGCTGTTTTCTGCCTCATGTTCCCATCTCCTACAGCTGAGGTTTTACCCATCCACACAGCTGCTTCTCATTCATCAGGTGCTGCACCCCAGCTGCAGCGGTTGTGAAAAGGTCTGTCCTCCATTCTTCTTTCTCTTCAAACAAGAAGAGACTATGTGTCTCAACATTGTCATGAGAAACGTAATTTCTGATGATGACTATTTAGCCATCATCTTCCACACTTTGCTTCCTTACCCTGAAACAGGGTAAGTAGATTTGACAAAGAACTAGCACCTGTGAAAGGGCTTAATACAAGAGTTTGAAATACATTTTTTGTAAAACTTTCAAATTTGTTTGGCTTGAATGTAAAAAAAAAAAGCCCCTGATCCTGAGTTAGACTTTATGCTTTATGGAGCATATCAGATACTTAGAAACAAATTTGTATTTACAATTGGATACTATCCAGCTCTGGTAAACATAGCTAGGACTCTTTGCAGTCTGGTCTTTGCACAAAAGATAGGAAAGCTGGGTCAAGGTTTGTTTGGAAAGTTTGTACATGCCAACTGGAAGGATAAGTAACTTCTGAAACTGTGACTCAAGCAACATTTCACGTATGCAGAACGAGGTATGATTCTCCACCGCTGGATTACATCTCTTGAAGTTGTACACAAATTATTATTAAATCAGAACAGCCATGTTTTATTTGCCAAGATACCATTATGATAGTGAAGTTACTGTATTAATTGTATTAGCTTTTGGAGCCTCATAATGTAGGTGATATAGCATACTTCACACTTGCAAGTGACCACAGTTAATAATTGATAGAAGTACACTCCACACTTGCAGGCAGCTATAGACAATAGCTAGCATACATCAAATGGATGGTAGTCATAGTTACAGGACACATGGAGACAATCACAGAGCCATAAAGAACAGCTGAGTAACACCAAGAAACATGACCAAGATGACCCCAATTAGGGATAAGGAATTTAGGAGGAGTGCGTTCTGACCTCTGTCTCTAGATAATAGATAGATCATGAAATCATAACAAAGATGCCAGGGAATGATTGTGTTAAGGGTGAATTATTTGACAATCTGACAAAGTGACTAATCAACTGATTAACTTGGTAGGATAATTAAGTTTTTAAGTGTCCCAAGAGTGAACTAACTTCATTGTAATACTAAAAACCCCACCTCCAGGTCAGAACAACACCTGCCCAGGTTAAAGACCCTTCCCCTGAGCAGGCATAGTGATAAAAGCCTCACGTAATCAGTATGATAATCACTGACCAATCAGTATCCAATAGGCAATGTTTGGAAAAATACTAACCTGTGATTTTTGTGTATAAAATAAGCACCTGAACCTGCTGTTACGTGTGCTTGATTTGTGGAAAAGCCCACGGAGCACCCAGACCTGAATAAAAACACCTCTCCCTGAGCTGTGTCAAGATTGGCTTATTGCATGCTAGGCATAAATCAGCTTCTTGGGTAACACAGGCAGTCTGTTAGCAGTACACAAAATGCATTAAAAACTTTATAGAGGGATTTTTGTAGCCGATCTGTTGCCCTTAAACTAAAGGCCTCAGATTGTTTTCCTCATTGAAAATACATTAACAGAATTGAGAATTTTTGAGGCAGCACTCAACCTGATCTTCAATGAGCTCTGGGACATGACTCATTTGGCAATACTTCCATCTTCTAAAACCAATAGCTACTGTATCCTTAAAAGACCAACAATTAATAGCACCTTTGCTCTGTGCTGGTAAGTGATTACCAAAACCACACATATTATTTATGTCCCACGTTTTTTGATCCAAGCCTTCCCTGTGTAGCAGGGGAAGCCAATGTAAAACCCAATCAGCTAAGCCACTTTGGCATTGTCTTGCTGACTCCTGATTAAAAATTAACATGACCTTTGACTATTTGTCATTACTAATGACAGGTTTATAGTCAATTGTTTCCACCTCCTTCAGCTTCTCCCAGTGAGAGGGCAGCAGCACAGCACAGCACTGTGTGCACCTTGCCCTGCAGAGAAGATGGGGCAGAGCCCCCGACCCACTGCCACAGCTTCTGTGCTGGCTGGAACAGCATGGAGAAGGAGCTGTACCCTGACAGCCTAGAGGTGAGCAAACCCCATGACACTCCTGCAGCCAGCTGTCCCACAGTCTGGGGCTGTCCCAGGTGCCCTGCCCAGCCCCCAGGCTGCCTCTGCAGCCACCCGGCTCCACCTGGCAACCCTGCAAGATTAAGCATTTGAAATGCAATAACCAACATTTAAAATGTGAAAACAAATTTGGTGTTCCTCATGTCACTGCTTCCTCTCCTTGTGATTTTGCTTGGATAACTTGTTTTGGTTATCATTATAATTATGTATGTCAGGCTGATCCTGTAATAGTATTGTAGTAGAGAAAATGGATTGTAAATGCTACATGGAGAGCACTTAATCTGGGTTTTTAACTTAGGAAACTTCTGGCTGTGCAATAAATGAACTGGAAGTCCTGAGGAACAGTTTGCTGTTATCAGTTCTGTAGTTTATTTTCTCTTCATATAGTCCAAACACCACATAGTCCAGCTACAATCTTAGCTGCTGAAAATTAAAGTGTATTTTCAAACATTAGAATTTTTTAGTATTAGAATAAGCCCACTGGATGAATACAAACCAGTAACATTGTGTCAATAAATGATCAGACAACTGATTAAGTTCTATTAATGGTATGTCATGACTACTTTTGCTTTTACCTAATTCTATTTTGTACTGATAATAAGTAATCTCTATACAGCAGCAGTTCTGTTATGGTCTTACTAGCCTCCCCCCAAACTGGTCAGACTGTGGATCTCAGAATAACCCCCTCCACCCTTTAAGAAACCCTGTACAATCTGAGAAGCAGCTATGATCCCTAAGAAGAACTACTGTGCTGCAGAAGCATAAGGCATCTGCTTCCTCATCCCAACCCCATGTCAGAGATCCGTTTCAAGGGAGTGGAAGAAGAGCTGGCAATGATTTAATTAAGAATAAATTCAAGTAAACGGTCAGGCACATTAGGGCAATACCAAATTAGCCTGCATCATCTGGATTGGAACACCCACAAATCAGATTTTTGGCTACACAGTCAATGCTGTGAGCAAGCAAATGGAGACTGTTGGGAAGTGTGGCCTAGCACAGTTAACCCCAGAGGAGTACCGTAACTGTAACCCTTATTGTAATGATAAAGAACCCTGCTGCTGCTGTGGACAGGATGAGACAGGTCTGGCTAAGTGCCCTACCAGGGCACAGGCTAACCCAGTGCCACATTACCACTTGCACAGGCACACATACATAAACTCACCAGGTTCGAACAGTCTTGTTACTAACAAACTGGCCATGAGGACCATCAGCGTCAGAAGGCAAAAGGGCCAAATAAACTGGGGTCTCAGCCCCTTCATCTGGTGATTTAGTGGCTTTAGGACCTGCCATGTCTGTTCTCACCCATCCAGGACAGCAGGCATTGAGAAGGATGTGGTCACCTTTTCTTTTCTCATTTAACATCCGGGCTTGAATCCTGGACAAGACTGTGACACCAATTTTGGATACCCCATAGGCAGTGTTTGGCCAACCTTCTTTCTCATGCGCACTTTTCTTGGTATCTTCCACAAATTTGGTCATGAGTTCCACTAACTCATCCTCAGTGATTGTGTCGCTGCGAAACTTTTTCTGTAGTTCTTGGCTGCAGCCTCCCAGAGCTGAGCTACTTACCATACTAGAGACATTTACCACTCTACCTGGTAAAAGAAAATAAAGACTGATTACTTTTACAGACACTAAACAAGCCCAGATTCTAAAGTGGGCTTGCTCTACAGTTACGTATTCACTACTTAGGTGAATGCCGATAAACTATTTTGTGTGGGCTGTTTTGCAGAATTTCTGGAAGATCACAGTTAACTCAATATCAAGTGTTTCTAGCGAATTCCATCACAGAGGGTAATTTAAGGGTGAACCTGCAAAAGCTCTCTATCGAATTTCAGGTATGCTTCCAGGAAATAGCCTGTTACAATCTGTAGGCATATTCATACCAGTAACTCGTTTCATCAGTAATGGCAGCCAGGCTTTACTCTCAAAATTCTGGTGGAAAACATTCTCACTTCTGCAACAGCTAGTGCCGTAAGTATGTACCTCAGAAGACAAATACAGAATTCAACAAAAGCAACCTAGTTTTTAATGGAGTGATACCATCAGCTTGTTTACAGACTATCTGAAGATTTACAAATCCCAGGCTGCAAGACTGCAGTAAACTATTTATGTCCCACCACCTCAGTACAGAGGAATAAGTCAGCAGAATCAGTAATTCACTCATCTCCAAAATTATGTTACACTGTTTTCCTCTTTCTTATTAGCTTGCAGTCATTCAGGCAATGAATTAAGGAATGAACATGGTGATTTAGACCTTAAAAGCCACAGAAGTTAATCTTCTCTGTTAATGACTTTATTAAACACACTTGTTCTTAACCCTTAGTCCAAGGGGACTAGATTGCAATTTTGGCACTGTTTATTCTCTGCCCTACTGGCCCCCAAAATCAATTTACTCTGTCCTTTTCTTCCTCCCTAGGGACTAACAATTCCCAACTTCTCTTTCATCTACTTGACTTACTTTCTCTTAAAAATCTAGATGTATTTAAATGTTAGCATAGACTACATTACATTTATAGCAGCAAGCACGTATCCAAATATCCATGAAAATATCTAGTCATCACAAGTCTTGAAAAGAATTGCATTAAAAAAAAAACACTTAGATTTTGTGTGGGTATTAGATCCAAACACTCTCCTTTCAAATCATCCATAATATGTCAGTAGCATTCCATAGCACTTCCAGTGTTCCAGCTTTCAAGAACAGGAGCATTCTCTGCAGGACAGTCATCCAATGAGTATAGATTATTTGCACATGGCTAACACCTCTTTATTATTGACGCATCTATCTTCTTTGATGATTTTCCATCCTATCTACCCTTTTTTGGTAAAGTGTTTTCTTCCAGTTCCTCCTAACATCACCAAATTGCAGTAAGTTAATGTACGTCTTCAAGTGCCATTTATAACTACATCACTAGACACTTGCAAATACAGCAAAGGCTGTGATCTATCTAGAGGCAGACAAACAGCCTATTGAGGTTTCTCCATCAGTAGCAAGAGCAGGGATGTCACATCAAACTCAGTTGAAACACTACTTTTAGGTACTTCCTTATCCTAGTTGTAGCATCAAAATGTCCTTTCTGAAGCAAGAGCAATTTATGTAGGCAGATATCACGGACAGAACATAGGTAAGTTCTCTATGTCTTCTTGAGTGCACCATGAGAATTCCACTTTGATCCTTAACAGAAGAATGTGACCAGCTTGAAAGTAGTTTAAAACATACACAGCAGAGACATCCTAAAGGGTCAAGAAAGTCCATTTGTTCTCTTGCCTACAGGAAGGTACAATCCTCTTGTTATGGGAGCAGTGTGCAATTTAGACTGGACAGGATTTTGCCATTTAATGAGGATCAAATTTCATATAAAAGTATTTCTGCATTTGTTATGTTTTACTTACCATAAGGCTTCAGAAGAGGTAACAATTCTGTGCAAACATTCCTGGTTCCAAAAAAGTTTGTCCTCAGTGTAACCTCTGCTTGGACTGCAAATGGAGTTGTGTCATGAACTTTTCATAAGTGATGGCAGCGAGGGAGGGAAAAATAAATAAAAAAAATATCAGAGTTGTACTGCTGTTTGAAATTAAGTTACCAAGCTACCAAAACCCCAATTTTTTTTTTTTTTCCTGTGGGGTTCCCTCCCCCTTTTTTTTTTTTAATAATTAATTGATTATATGCTTGTTTCCTAAAATATGTAAGAAAAAAACCCCAACATCATTAACACTCACATTCTTAATAATGAAAAGACCTAGCTCTGCAGTATTATATGAATAATGAGATAGTTACTTTTTCACCTCTTCTTAGCTGAAGGATTTAGCTTTGCTCCAGGAGAGCCAGTTGTATCACTCTGTAGTCACCTGCCAACCCACAGGCCGTTCGCCTGTCTGCCTTTCATGTGCAAGAGGCAAGAAAAGACTGCTCTTGCAGGATGTGCTGCCCAACCTGCCCACTGACCTGCTTGTACCGGGCACTCAGTCTGTGCTGCCACTACCACATGCAAGTGAACTTTAAGGTGCCCTCTCCCTCTTCTTAAATGCATAGCACAACACTCTGCCACCATCCTGACATACCAGAGGAGGGGAGGGCACATAGGGGAAATCAGCAGGGAAGATCCTGAATCTAGGATGCTGCCATTGAAGATGCAAAAGTTAGATTACCACCGCAGTACTAACATCTAAAAACACGGCAGACAACTGCTTCTATATCTTGACTCCTATGGTGTCATGTCTTGGGTTCTTAGCTGGGGCTTGCAGTCAGAACAGTGCTGAACTGCAACAAACACTGTAAAAGCTCCTCTAAAGAATGCAGGGGTAAGATTTGGTGAAGTCTGAAAAAGAGCAAGCAAACAAAAAAACCCCAAACAAAACCCAACCCCAAAACTGACAGATACTTGTGTCAAAAATCACCACCTGAACTGTGCTAACACATGCAAAAGAGTGGGAATTAGCAGCTAGGAAAGGGAGCTGACTTAGGTAAGCATAAGCAGACTGGTAAGGGTATGATTTTATCAGACAAAATTGACAGCTTGACACTACCAAAATCAAGGTAGGATGTGCCATCAGACAACAATTTGGCTCAGCAATAAGCCATATGCTATGCGCCCTCCACTTTGAGCGTGAAGTAAGAGTTAAAGTAACAGCATTCCTCCTCTTCTGCTACAGGCTCTCTTTCAGAAACTGAAGGCCACCTACACAGATTAGGCAGGTCTTCACTTGTCTCCATAGCTCAGATCTATGTCAACTCAAAAGAGAAGCAGTAACAGGTCATTTAGTATTTAATGTAGTTGTGAACACATCTTTAATGACTCAGTTATACTCTCAAGCAACAGGCACTGATGCCATCAAGTTTTGCAAATCACTTGCTTGCATTTAACTCTGAGACATCAAGTCAGATCATGACCTACTGAAAGAGTTATGACAGTGGGAAAAGGAACTAAAACCCTACACAACTCCAAACTCCTGCTTCCATACCCACCTTGCAAGAGAAGCTTCCCTACACTCCAAAGCCCATTAATTTGTCTAACGATATATTACTTGTAACATACGATATATACACACTCCCTTGATTTAACAGGCAGTACTAGAACAAATGTTTTCACAGAAGCTCATCCAGAAGGCAGCCTGCAGGCACATAATTTCATACACGAACAGTTTTTGCTGGACTATCTGTACTGAAGCACAAAACCGGAACAATAAATTTAATGGCAAATCTAATCTTTGACAGACAGCAACAACACATAATACTACAATAAAGAAAGGAAAGCATAAATTCTGGGATGGCAGCAGAAACCTGGCAAGGCAAGAATCAAGCTTGGGTAGAAACGCCAATCTCAGAAGCAAAAATTAAAAAACAAAGTATGAGATATGCATCACAACAAACTCTTACACAGGTGTTAAACCCTCTAGCCTCTGTGCTAGATACTTATCCAACAACAGTTACAACTGGCTCCTTTATCACATTTCTTAATTGTATGACCTACTGCTGACTCGTAAGTCGTCAGCTTGAAGAAAGTCTAAGCTAAACATCTGGAAGCAACTTCTGAATAGAAAAATCTAAGATGTAGTAAAGGAAGTAACAGAAACTCCACTGATCATGCTATTTCACCTATTTATCTGTTCAGTGGTTTCACAGAATAGATCTAAGATCTCTCACAGATGAGCTCTATCAAATCTTGCTGCAGCAATTTGAGGAGTTTTTATTTTACCTATCCATGTATCCACCTTGGGGGAGGCTACAGCTGCTGCACATTCAGCAGCAGGAAACACATACTTGAGGGTATAACACCTCTCTTATCCTGAGCATTCCCTGAAGCTCAGACAGTTGTATTAAGAGATGCCTCCTACTAAGCTGATCTTGAACACAAACAATCTTCCTGCAAAGTACCACAAAAAATACACAGTGACTGGATTTCAGAACACCATTGCAGCACTACCACTTCATGAGAAGCTTTACCTTAAGCTGCAGGTGAGGTTTGAACCACACTACTGGACAGGCCTCCTTAACTCATGATGTAAGCAGTCAACACAATACTGTGCTTGAACAGTTACATATCCTAACTGGATATCAGGCAAAGAGATTAAAAAAGCCTCAACAACCCACAAAACATGGAAAGAACAAGTTTGTATGGCAGGGAAATTAACTAGTAGTTATGCTTGTTATTTGCTCTATCTGGAGCTAACATGATTCTCAACTTGTTTTTATAAATACCTACAAGGAGAACACACTCTTCTACCTTACAACTGCTGTGTCTTCCTCACTTTCTGTGCCTTCCTTTCCACTAGAAGATTAAAGAGTTAAATCCTTGCTCAGCATAGTAATATTTAGGTTAACTGTTTTATAGGTAACTGAATGGCCTGAGAAAGTTAAATATAAGTAAAGATGACAAAGTTACCCAGGGTCAAAGGTTCTTTTTTATCAACTGGAATCCTTGAGCAGGTAAAGCATACAACAAAGTACGAGGCTTGCAAAAGAGAGAAAACACAGGTCCCCAAGGAACACAGATGATGGGGTTCCATGGGTACTGAGTCTGTAAGCCCAACTCTACTCATGCGCACTGTGTGCCTAAAATATTTCCATGCTGTATATATGATGCAAATACAATACTCCGGGGAAGCATCTTTACATGCACGTTTAACCCAACAGATGTTAGAGGAAGAACAATTTCACATTGCCCTCTCATCATGCTTAAGAAGGTAGACAGCTTGCCTAGCCAAAAGAGCAGCATGCCATTGGCACAGAAGTCCCATATAAGCTTTGTAAAATCCCTGACGTATCTACTACCCTTCTCCACATAGCTTTGTGGCACATAGGACTATGCCAGACAATCTGCTTCCTACCTTTGAAAGCAATCCCTGCATTGTTAACCAGCACGTTCAGCCCTCCATATTTCTCCTTTAGGAAGTCACGGAGAGCTCTGATGCTCTGCAGATCATCAATATCCAGCTGATGGAAGAGTGCATGCAGCCCTTCCTCCCGGAGCTTGGCCACTGCTTCCTGGCCACGGCCAGGGTCTCGGGCTGTCAGGTACACATCCCCTGGGAATTGCTTGCACAGAGCCCGCACAATTGCAAATCCGATCCCTTTGTTGGACCCAGTCACCACAGCCACTGGCACGCTGGACATTGTACTGGCTGAATGTATGTCGAATTGACAGTAACTGCAAACAGCAAAGAAGAAAATTTCACACTCAGCTGGACAAAAATGGCTATCTGAAAATGGATTGAAGTGGTTTTTTTTTCTTTAAAATCCTGTTTAGAATTCCAGTTTGAACTACATAAAACTACACTAAAGTACACACTAACTGTAACTTAATAAACTAGCATGAGGTATTCACAGAGGAATACATGTTTGGTGTTAATGTTTTGAAGAAAGCCCAACTAGTGATTGGGTTAAAAAAAGATAGTTAATGACCAATCTTTAGTATTAAATTAACTTTTAATGGGATTAAACTCTTCTGCACATACACTTCGCAGGAGTACCACTGCCTTCTTTTGAGGATATTCAACTGGTTCAGTTCAAGCACTGATGCAGTCAAAGTTGAAAAACTCAGGCTCAAAAAAAGGGGAGGAGTGGCTTGATCTTCAAGTGTCAGGGAGGAGAACCAATTCTAGCGTTTTTTAGAGGGAAACAGCTGACCACGGATTGACTACAGCCAATTTTTCTTCCATTTAAACACACCAGTCAACTCCAGATACAAAGCCTGGTTGCTAGGTTTTGGTTTTGTTTTCCGCAGACAAAGCATATTTCAAGAAGGTGTATTTCCCCAATAAAAGTGAGTTTAATTTCCACTTCCCTTCCAAATTAGTTTGTAACTAACCACCTAGCGAGGAGGAAATCCTAACCGGCTGCTAGAGGCCTGCCCAGCCCCTGACCGCCTCACCCAGGGGCAGGAGCCACCCTCCCCGTTCACCACCGGGCTCCCCCCTCGCTGCGAACCGGCACACGTTCTCACTGCCACCAGCCTCAGGACCGGCTTCTCCCTCCCTCACGGGAACGCACGGAAAAACCCGCGAGCCACGACGAAGCCCGACGACTCCCTTGCTCCCCGCGGGACGACCTGCGGCCGTGACGCGCCCCCGCCGCGGGGCTCCCCGTCACCCACCTCGGCCCTGCGCGCCGACGAGGAGACGAGGCCGCCCGCCAACCGCGGCCGCACACTCACGGCGGATGGGTGGGGGCAGCGGAGGCGCCTAAGATGGCGGCGGGGGAGCCCCGCCTCCCGCGGCGCGCAGGGGCGGGGCGGGCGGGCGGCGGCCCCTGCGTGCTCCCGGCCTGCTGGGCCGGCGGTGGGTGGGGGGTGCGGGGCAGCGTGTCTGCGTCTGCTCTGTCGCCTGTCGCGATTTCAGCCTGGGAGGGACTCGGGAGCCGGAGCTGCTGCCGCTGTTGGGTCGCCCAGGGAAGAGGGGAGTTTCTCGTTTCAGTCTTCAATGCCTTAAAATGAAGGGGGGGGGGGGGGGGGGGCGTTGTTGGAGCTGTACTGTCGGAAGCGGTGTTCACTTTCGCTCGGGCGATTCGGGGTTTTGTCTGTCATGGCCGGGAAGGAGGGAGAAGGCCTGTCTTGTGCCGAGCTGGAAAGGGAGGTGGTGCTAAAACATCCTCCTCAGCCCGTGGGGGACGGGGATTTGTCGGCGTCAGGGTTAGCGCCATCAAGCGCGGTGGCAGCTGAGGGTGGCAGTTGTGACTTGTGAAGAGGGAGACGTATAGAAAATCACAAATTGTCAGTAGCGGCAAGGTCTGTTTACTGGACTAATTAATGTAATAATATTTTGTTCGTCGTTCTGCTTAGGAGTCTGCCTAACGAAGGAATAAGGTACACCTTATCAGTGACTAACAGGCTTGAGCCTGTCTGCTTACATGATTTAGGTACACTCCTATCTAGGAAAAGCAAGATAATGGAAGAAGGACACTGAAGCTTGCAGAACTACCAGATGCAACTGGTTTTGTGGTCTCAGCTGTAAGGGAAAGGGTGAAGATAGAACCAAGTTCACAGAAAGGACACTGTGAAGACCAGCTAGAGACTGTAGTGCACATGCGGAAGTAGGCTGGCAACATATATAATGATTTCTTGGAAAGTAATCAATATTGTAATTAGCTCTTAGAAATTACATGAATATGTAAGTGAATTGTTTATAATTATCATAAACTCCACTACGGTGGGGCGCTCATTAGGAAGAATGGTCCCCTATGCATCCGACGCAGTCAAATAAAGAGTACCTGCATAATAGCTATTACGGCTGTTGAGACTGAATTCTCGGCTTCACTTAGCGGGAGGAACCGGTGTGCCGGTGTCCCTGGCTGCCCCTGGTGTGGCCCCCCAGCCTCTGAGCTTTGCTTCTAGGCAGTATTGGCGAGGGGAAATGGAATACACCATTTCAGCAACAGATTGGACCGTAAGGAGTCAGGCTGATGCAGTGTGTCTGCCGTGCAGCAGTTGCGCTGAGGGGTAGCTGAGGGGTGCTGTGTGGGGCTGGAGCTTTCGGTGGTGTTGGTATGGGGTTGAAACACAGAAATTCACTCAGCAGTCAGAATCCAATAGAACTGTTAAGCAGGTATTCTTTATTAGCAGCACTGGGGATCACTCCAACAAACAGGTAAAATCATAGAGAACATATGTTGTGAGGTTATACATATTCAGTGGATTTCCAAGAACTAATCTACATATACATAAGATTCCGTGGAACTTATTTATGTAATCTGAGCATGCGTGATAAAACTAGTGTTCCAGTCTTTTCCCCTCTGGTGGTCGTTCATAGTCTTCCTCACAGTGTCTAGTGATTGCACTCTGGGTTTCCTTTGCCCATATAATCTGGTCATGGAGTTAGCTCATCCCTTCTTCGGCCCTGGGGTGCTCCACTTAAGGAACCATTCAAGGTCTACCTAAATTTTATCAGGTGAGAAGCTGCCCATTTCGAAACATCTTGTTATTAATTCCTCCCAGCAGTTGACTAAACTATGGGAGGGAAACTGAGAAAAGAATACAAGTAGAACATGCTGACCAACTGGGATTCTACTATAAACAAGTTCTTTAAACAAAAGGAAATAGTTCTGACCTTCTCTCAGGGGAAGGTGGTTTTCTTCAGTGTATGTGCTCGAATAGCTCCATTCTGCTCTTCTTTGAAGAAATAAACTACAGAAACTGGTTATGCCAATTAATTTTCTTTAATTGTAATACATTTTCTGTTTGAAACCTTTTAGTTCTGTGCACTGTAAACACCAGTGTCTCATTTCCTTTGGAGGATTATGGGCATGCCTTGGCCAAGATGATGTTTGGAGATAAAGTCTTTCTGTCTTCCCTCATCCCTATCATCCACTCTTGTTTAGGAGTTTGCTCATAATATATTTTGTAAACATTAAAGAGGCAGCTTGTTCAATAGGCAGTGCACTGATTTCTCTTTTTCTCTTACTGAGATAAAAGAAACAGGCAGTATTTGAAAGGGACTTTAAATATTTGTAGGTAACTTTTTTTTTTTTTTCCTTCATTCAGGTTGTCTAAATAAGGCAAAATCTGTTACTTAATATGAAGAAAAGCAGAGGTCGGACAGGTCGAAAGAGAAGAACAAAACACTTGCAGGGTTTTATGGATGGAGGTACTATCATTGGAAGTATTGCTAAATAATAAAATAACCAATTGTTTGCCAAGGTGTCATTTTACGGTGTATATTTGTCAAACACCTTTGTGCTTTGAAAATAACATTCATAAATGTTAGCTTTTTCTATGCAAATATTCTAGCATTACTTCATAATCCCAAGCAAAGCGTGGTGAATATTGTGAGCTCTCTTTGCTGGCTAATGGGAAGTGTGACATTATTCTTAAATGCCTTGACCTGTGAATATGCTGAATAACTCCTACAGGTCTGGGAGCTCCTTGTGCTCAGAGACCAAGAATTTAGTAAGCTAGTTCAAGGGGAGCCTTTCTTGCTATTCTATTAATCTATACTAAAATGTCGAAAATACAGGTTTTTTGACTATATAGTAAAATGTTTCAATTTCCTTTCTTTTCCAACAGAGTGCTATTTTATAACATTAATCTCCTCCTTTTTATTTTTAGTCAACTGCAGTCACAAGCCGGAATACATTAAACTTAAAAAGTGGCTGAAAGACAGAGGATTTGAAGACACTAATTTAAGGCCAGCAGAGTTCAGGGGTAATGTTTTAATTATTTATTGGTGGTACAAATTTCTGATTCTTCTAAGAATGTTGATTCCTGCTTTCATTTTGAATCACACACCTGGTTGGCATCAGGAAAAAAGCCAGACACCATTAGTCTTTTAAGGACTTGGGGCAAATGTACGTGAATGTAATTTAACATACTCAAGTAGATATGGAGGCCTGAAGTGGTGTAAACTGTTTCTTGTGTAAAGATGATCTCATGTAAAACTCTTGTATGAGAATACTCTGGTGTGCTGCAAAACATGCACATTCCTCATAGAAATCAAGATTTTAAGTGTTAGTAGCACAGTTTTAAAGAATAAAGTAATATCTCAATAAGTGTTTCCAGTATTGGAACCGACCTTTGTTATCATTTCTTCATCTTTTTTTCTCCATTCAAGTTCAGCAGATATAGTGATACAGATAAGTAAATGATTTTAGAGCTGCAATTCACATAGTACTCTTTACAGTAAAGGTATATACTTGTATTTTTTCTCTTTAAGTAGATTATGTTTCCAAAACTTTTGCAGTATTACAGAGAATAGGGTAAATCAGAAAAATATTGTGAAAAGAAATTGTAAAGTTTAGTTAAAACTCTGAAACTAAGAAGAGCGGCTAGTGATGAAAGCTGTGTTTAAAGAAGAAACTGGGAAAAAGAGGCTGAGTAATTGCTAGAACTGGACAACAGTAGTTGCAGGGACTGCAGGGGAAGGGCTTTCACAGGGTTCTGAAAAATAAAAAGAGAACCATAGAACAAAAAAAGAGGTATATATCTGGAACAATCCATAATTGTCTTTTATGATTTGTAAGAGATAATGTATGTTCTTTTAGAGCTTTTCATTGCTGGCCTGTTAAATTATTGCAGTTTATCATAATCTTCTGTATTTTACATATATACATGTATTTAAGCATCCTCTTTGTTCCTACTTCAGATACAGGAAGAGGAATCATGACAAGAAAAGCTCTTCAGGTTAGTAATGTTGGTTCTGATTCAAGAACTTCTCAGATTCCTTTGTGATGTAATGACTTTCACAGCAAGCAAAGCTCAAAATTCCAGACAAGGTCTTCACAGTACGTGTTGTGAATGTAATTTCTGGCCTAATACCAGAATTTGCGGTGTTGGCATATTTGTAAGATGATGACCTATGTACCCTGAGGGCTTGTTGGATGAAGACATTCCTGTACTCATTTATAGAGGTTTAGTATGTAGTCTCTGTGTTTCAGTTTAAGGCAATCAGTGTCTAACTGAAGCCAGAAGGAGCAGGCCCCTTCCTTCCTCTATGCCTTCTCCCTCCGCTTCCTTTGCACTGGTGGAAGCGGTCTTCTCCATTTGTGTGGTAAGTTGCATCAGGAAGGTAAACTACCAGAAACTCTTCAAAATAATTACCAGCTTTGATAGCTTTGCTCCTTGAAATCTCCCACCTTGGTCAGACCTGTGCTGGCACACAGGGGGGAGTGGCATATCTGGGAGAGGGATGGAGGAAAGGGGTGGGACTTTCAGCAGCATTTGGCTTTAGATTATTTTAGCCATAATGTGAAACCACAGTTTTAACCTCACTTTGGTGGTCCTCTTCTTTGTTGGTAGACTGGCTAATAGAAACATTTTTCAGATATTCCCAGCAGAAAAGGGGAATGATAAAAAAAAATACCTTGCACCTCAGATATTGGCACAGAAAGTCTGAACTCTGACTGAAAAATGCCTCTCAGAAGATAGGCTTGTTGGAGAAGTTTCCTAACTGGTTTGAGAATAGTATATCAAATAATGGGGAATCAGACACAGAATCTATTGCAAAATAGAGTAGAGCAAGAGGTAGGAAGGAGATGCAGTGGAGAAGTCGTGTAGAGAACATGCTGGTTCAGGGTTAGAGCCAGCAGTTGAAGACGGTTTATCCACAATGCTGTGAGTCTGCAGTAAGTGCAATGGGAGCTAGACTGAACGAGACTTGAGCAAGGTTAGGAAACTCAGGGGAAGAATGAGAGTAGGAGAGAATTGATTTGATTTATGTCTTCTCCCTACTGGAATGGACACGCGGCTCAAGCCAGGCATGAAAGCTAATTTACACACACAGCAGCTCGGCAAACGAGCTCAGGATAGACGTGGCCTATTAAAATATCCCTACCCCATACCGCTATGCAGATAGAAGTTCAGCTGTTTGTGAGATCTAATCTAAAATATATCTCAGTACAAAGAAGGTAAGTAGCCAGGCACCAAACTGTCTGTGGACAGCTAACTTTCTGCAGATCACAGTTCCTACTGACTGCAATCATACTTCTTCCCTGGACTGTGACCATCTTAAAACCATGCCAGCTTCCATGAAGTTCAACATCACATCTGTTTGCTTCTTGACATTAGCATTCTCTGGGGAATGTCTTTCTGTTCAGAAATCATGTGGTAAATGAGTCATTTACGCTTGACCTTTACTATTCTTTGTGTGTGATTGGTTTTCTTCTTCCCTCAAAGGCAGGGGATCTGATTATTTCATTGCCTGAGAAATGCTTACTCACCACAGGCACTGTCCTTAGTAGCTGCTTGGGAGAATACATTGTGAAGTAAGTGAAAAGTGACACTTTATGGACACGCTGCCATTTACTGTGGGTTGCTCATTAGTAGATTAATCATCTTTGGTGGTAGGGCTTTAAACTGCATACCCCAACTTGTATGAATATTTCTTGTGGACTTTCATGCATGTAGAGTGCTCAGATATGTAAGGTTTGGACACAGAGCATCACCTTTTTGCTAGGCAGAGTTGGTGGGGTGGTACAGGCTTGGACTTGTCCTGCCTCTAGAGCCAGCTTGGAGCTAAATTCCAGTTATGAATGGTTTCTTGGGAATTTATGAATACGCTTCAATAGGAGGAGGATAAAATGGGGTTACAAAGCAGTTACATGAACATGGCCTTTTAGAAAATTCAGAACAAAGACCTATACTGGACACTGAGTACTTGTTATGTATGCTAACAGCCTCCCCTCCTGCAAAAAACAAAACCCAAGAGGTTAGCCTGAAGTTGTCAACACAAACCAGGATTTATAGCCCCTTTGAAATCATCAAAAGAAGTTGGAAATGAACTACAAAGAAGTTTAAAATAGAAGCTATTTATAACGTTTGAAAGAATTAGAAGAGAGAGAAAATACTGCTCCATCCATTTCCTATCTCACTTCTGTGTATCTGCTGTGTTGGTATTTTTATTTTCTAATAGATGGAAGCCTCCTGTATCTCCTTTGATAGCACTGTGCACATTTTTAATAGCAGAGAAGCATGCTGGTGAGAAGTCCCTGTGGAAGCCGTATCTTGATGTTTTACCCAAGACATACACTTGCCCTGTTTGTTTGGAGCATGATGTAGTAAGCCTTCTTCCCGAACCTCTAAGAAAGAAGGCTGAGGAGCAGAGAACAGCAGTCCATGAGTTGTACATATCTTCCAGGGCTTTTTTCTCTTCCCTGCAGCCCATGTTTGCTGAGAACACAGGAACTATTTTTAACTACAGTGCTCTAGAGTGGGCTTGGTGCACTATTAATACCAGGACAATATACATGAAACATTCACAGAGGGAATGTTTTTCTCTTGAGCCAGATGTTTATGCATTGGCACCATATTTAGATTTGCTAAACCACAGTCCAAATGTTCAGGTAAGAAACTAAAAATAGATCACTTAAATTCTCTATTTGTAAATGCACTGTCTCAATACAGTATGTATTTATGTGATGGATTAGGAGTATCTGGAGGTCAGTGAAGAGACTCATGGTTCTTATATACTCTGGAGCTTGTTATTTAGCCCAAGACAGTTGAATAAAGATGATTTAAATGTTTCAGTTTATGTAGCAAAGCAAAGTTACTTGGAGAACCCACAGTGGCTGGGTGAGATTTGCATCCAGCGTAGCTATTGGGAAGAGCCACTTGTAAATATAATCCTACTCTTCTTTCCTGAAAGACTCAGCTCCCGGGACAAATCTTAAATTACATGGCCCTTGCGTTACTTCAGTTCTGGCTGAAGCTTCTGAAGCAGCCTTTGGAAAGCACACAGAGCAGTTCTACCTTTTGTCAGGGACTGTGTGCCAACACAGGGTTGGGACAGCACAAAAGTGGCCAACTCTGAATGAAGCCATCTTTATTAGTGGATTTGAGGCCTCTGTAATAAGTCTACACAGTGGGTGGCACATCCTGTGGACTAAGGCTTTGATGTTTGTTCTTCATACTAGTGGGTTGCCTTCTCAGACATCTGTAACACTTTTCTTCCAGTGTTAGAGAAGTGTTGGATTTTAATGTTCAAGGTCTGATTCCTTTTTCACCCTGTCTTCATGTCAAGAGTAAAGTATTTTATTTTTAACTTCTTGAAGGTAAAGGCTGCATTTAATGAGCAGACAAGAAGCTATGAAATTCAGACAAATTCACAGTGCAAAAAATATGAAGAAGTATTGATCTGCTATGGGCCTCATGATAATCAGCGACTGCTTCTAGAATATGGATTTGTTGCTATGGATAACCCTCACAGCAGTGTTTATGTCTCCTCAGGTTGGATTTATAGGTTGTCTTGACATTGAAAGGCACAGTAGTAGAGAATATAGCATATGAGCATGTTAATACTGTCTATCTTGGACCAGAGATGTCAGTAAAAAGGGATAACTAAAGGATGCTGAAGAAGTTCACACAAGTGCATACACATATATGCACAATGCATATTAAGGCATTACAATATTTTTTTTTGTACCATCAAAATATTTGTGTGTTTTTCCAAGAACTGGAAAAGGGTTTGATGCCATTTTGAACTGCACTGAATTTAGAGATTGGAGTTTTAAATTAGAAAGTGTTCTTTGGTAACATTTCCTTTTGCAAAATTGCAATTCTTAGCAGTATATATGTGGAGATTGCAACTGGATGTCTTAGATTGTACCGTTGAATTCAGGATCAAAGTCCTGATCCCCACAAACTCAAGTTGCTGAGAGAGGTTCATAACTTCAATTTGAGTCAGGATATCCATTATAAAGATACAATCCTGGAGATTGCTGATAGCTTTTGAGACGTAGATGCATTTTTTTATTATGTTAAAGCTCACTAAAATGTAGCAGGTTTTGATCTTTGTCCTGTAGATACTTGAAAAATATGGTTGAAATGTTATTTCAGAATTGAGGATTGTGGTTTCTTCTACATACCATTTATTTAAATATCTAAAATGTGTTTTTATGCAGATACTCTCCTCAGGTATTTTTCACCACTGGACAAGCAGAGAAATGCAAAACTTTCCATTCTAAAGGATCATAATTTCTTAGAGTAGGTATCTGAAGTTTTTTGTTTCCCTGTGAGCTTTCTTTTCAGTTTTTCTAGGAGTCAAATTTTGCTTCGAATATCAAAATCCAGCATAAAATAATTATTTGTTTTTTTTTAACAAACTGATTTGCTTTCTGTTTGTGAGAGAAGGTAGAAGTGGTAAACACCAATATCAAAGCTTGAGATAGGTGACAGGCTGTACCTTGAAACCTGGCTATGGATAGCAGCAGAGTAAGGAGAGTCAAGGAGTCCTCTAGTTCTGAATAGTAGATCTTCCCTTGTTGACACTTGTGAGGAAGAAAGCTATCACACTGGAAAAGGTCACCTATACTTTCTGCTTCTCATCACTTCTGACTTTTTAGAAACCTGACCTTTGGATGGGATGGGCCATCTTGGAGACTCCTCACAGCCCTCAAATTGTTAAGTCTTGGAGCAGATGAATTGTAAGTTTCAGTACTCCGAATATTTAAACAATGTGCATGTGCCATTTTCCTTTATTTGCTCTTTGCTGGCTGTGTGTGAGATACTGGAATAATTGTTCTGGATCTCCTGTGTCTATCTCATTGACTCCAGGTGAGAGGTGAAAAGAAGAAAGACAGAGGACACCGTATAATGTAAAGTCATTGCTTGTTTGCTGCTTTGGTCTTTTGTTTTCTTGTATTAAGTGCTAGACACACCCCACTGTTCTCCCTTTCTATTTTGAGAACGAGATATTACTTTAAGATTCAGACTTCAGACCTTTTTCTGTTGGTTTGACGGGACTTTAAATGCTATTGACCTTTGTTGATTTCTTTGAAGCATGTGTTCCACAGACTGCTTCTGAAATCCTAGGGCCAAGTAAGACACTGAAATTCGTCTCCAGTGACTGTCAGCACAGGTTTGGTCATTTGTTCCAAATGGCAAATCCTGCCTCAAGCAGCATTAATAGGAAATGGTTACCTGGGCTTTGTTAGTAACAGTAAATAAATTAAAAAAAAAGTTTTATCTTCTTCAAAGCTGTTTATGCTTTGAAGATTCATTGCCGAGTGGAATAAGTTGATTATAAGAACTAAAAATAAATCCCTGTGTTTCAAGCCCAGATGACGTGAAGTTTAGCAGTGAAGCCATGGTAATAAGTTCCTTGTAAATAGCTTTTAGTCCTCACTGGTGCTGCTGAAGTTGGTGGCAGCATAGCGGAGCAGTAGAGACCAGAACCATTGATCTAAGTGTGGACTGTGGCTTTGGCTGGAAGAGTAGGGGTGGAAGATTGGAACTGCTACTCCAGACCATTCAATCTTTCTTTTGTTTCGCTTGCCTTGTCTCATATCTGAATGCTGTGTGCCTTTTTCACGTATGCTAATTTTACTTGCCTTATGCCAACAGTGTTATTCTTAGCAAACTGTATGTTTATCATTCAGCTGGGGAACACAGCAAATGATTGTGTGTTGTTCAAACATTTTGGTTGTAGTAGTTGCTGGAGGAGAACGCTGCTTGGTGATGTAATTTCAGCCAGAAATGAACAGCAGAGTTTGAAGATAACAGCAAAAATATGCCATTTTTTAATAGAGGAGACACAACATGTCCTTCTCCAGGTAAACTGACTGTAAGAACAAGGTAGCCCAGATTTTTTTCTCTCCTAGCATAAATGTACAGCAGTGTAATTTTCTGGGGTGAGAACAGAGCGACGGAGGAAATTGACTGCACTGGGTTGGTGTAGGATTTGTTTCCCAGGTGACAGCACTGAATTGCTCTGCAGAATTTGTGGCTGCAGCAAAGAAAAGAACCATGTTACAAAGCTTATACAAAGCCCTGTAAACAAGTGAAAAGTATTTAACTTTTCTTTGCCCACAGTATCAATGTGTTTGTTGAGGTTACTTCTTAAAAGAAAATGCAGACTTGTCTGATGTGGGCACATAAGACGTTGCAGACCTGCCATGAGTGCCTTGTTGGAGAAAGTGGAAGCTGTGTTCATTAAAGCTGGTCAAGTCAAATGAACTACCCGTGTCAGCCAGCCTCCTGTGAGGGAGGTCTGTGCTCTTAGAAAAACAATCTCTCCTTCCTTTCTGAGTTTTGGCAAACAAATGTGTACTCAATGTCAAGTTGGATAGCTGTCATGGAAAAGGGTTATTAAAACCACACTTCTGCAAAGGAAGCATGTATATGCACAGAGTATGAGATGAATCTGGTCTTGAGAAATATCCTGAGGGTAGTATGGACTTAGGAGCCTGGTATCCTGATAGCAGGTAAACATTTCCCTACCCTTTCTCTCCTTGTTTTTGATTTGCTTCCTATCCATGTGATGATTTTTTCCCCTGCCCTCCCTGCCCCCCTTTTTTTTTTTTCTTTTACAATTACAGTTTCTCTCTTGGAAGATTAAAATAAATACTATTTTGACATAGTTCATGGAATCCCAACCACATATAAGCTTTCCACAAATTTTATGTTCATGTCCTATATTAAATAATCTAAATTTTTGGTAAATTAATCCCCTTTGTATATACTTCAGATTTCCCAGTTGAAAAGGAACAAAGAGAACCTCAAAAAACACGTGACTTTGGTAGAAGCACTACGCTTGGAAGAGCTGAAGATACTCCAAAAATCAGCTGAGATTCTTTGCCACTTGAATATGGCAACAACTTGACCAATCTGGAGCTGTGATAGTTGTGACTGATGGAGCTCATTTGCCATGGATGTGCCTTACTCAACTGTTTTAATAGACCTGAGCAGCAAAGAATAATATAAAAAGACATCAGAATAATCCTTGTTTTTTTTACGGGGTCACACAGAACCCAGAGTCTTATTTTGTTCTTTGACCTTCTTCAGTAATTCAAAAGGTTAGCCCAAATGGTGGGGGGAGGAGTATAGGTGGCTTTCATCATATCTCACTGAAACCATGGCTGCTGTGAGCAAAACTGTAGCAGGACAGCTGGGAAGAAGAACTGGGAGTGCTGTACAGCTAGTGAATGATGAGGACATCTTGACCCTGGTCGGCCAGAAGCCTTGGGAGCAGCAAACAGGAATGTAGAAAAACAAGATAAGGATGCTGAGCTTTGTCTGAAGAAAACATGCAAGGAGACAGTTAAAGGAAAACATCTGGCCGTTTCTGAAACAGTGGAAAGTTTTCTACCTTGAGCTAAAAGAGTATAGAACATTGTGTTTGTGCTTGTAGGAGTTAATTAACCAGTAGGCTTAGGATAGCAATAACTAACTTGTAGCCAATGAGTTGTCTGGTGTATTATGGACAGAGGGTAATGACCAATCAAATGTTGACAAGTATTGTTAGGGACTGTATAATTGTAGAAGAATTGTTGACAATAAACGACTTCAACAATGACTTCGACCATGACTTTGACTTCGGCTTTGATTTCACCTCCGAACTCTCGACCACTTACTTATACCCATCTGGAGTCCCATCTCTCAATCACCGTCACAAAACAGCTTCCAGGGTAATTTGAGCAGCCCCAGAAATGTGGGCTCTAACAGTCCTAGACTTTACGGCTGCCTGTGTGGCTAAAGCGTGAGTTGTAGGGTCAAGCGGATATTCCTCAGCATGTATTTGAGCTCTGACACTTGACAGAGAGGAAGAGGACAGAGCCACTTGTATTTGCCCTATACTGATCCTTTACTTTTTCCCTGAGATCTGTGCATGTCTCCAGGACTTAGCAGTTCATGTAATGCATGTTCACTGCTGGAGTAATAGGGACAGACTAGAGCACAGATCAGCGCGATTGTGACCAACTCCAAATCATTCCCTTCGCAGCTTCAGCCCAAGTGTTTCTCGAATATAAGGAAGTGTGAATTTCCCTCCTTTTGCTCTCCAAGCTCCCTCCAGACTCACTAGTTCTTGTTCTGACTCTTCCTGCTGGGAATGAGAACTGAAAGGATATGTCACTTTAAACTCTGTTTCTTGTACTACCCAGGCAATTATGTTTCCATTCAGTTCTGGTGATCACACTGAGAAATGTTCCTACAGGGGGATAGTCTCATGAGGTGCCTTTCAATATTCTGCTTCAGTAGGGAGCTCGAGCTCTCTATGTTGTTTAGAGAAGAGGGAGAGGCTTCAAAGGGCATTTCAGGGCAGGACCCTTATTTAAGCTGTATAAGCTTTATTTATAATTGTGATTGTGTTGTGATTATTTTCCATGTTGTGGGGAATTACATTTCATAGAATTTTTCATTACTATTGTTAGCATTTTTTATGAACTGTGTTTTTAGAAAGTTTATTTTTGTAAATATATTGCTTCATTTTCTACAAGACTTCTCTATTTTTGAAATAAATGAAATTGTATACAGCAGTAGAGACATTCTAGCTAGTGATATAATTTAAGGAAATAAAATGCAACGAATGAAAACTGAAGTACTCAAGTTCAAATACACTTTCAGGCTTTCTTTGGTACCTTGTGAACAATCATGTTACGGTGTAAACTGGCTTGGACTTGAGGATTACAGTGGTTTTTCCTACATTTTTTTTTTTCCCTCCATCTGTTTGGGACAGGAAATGTTTTGATACCTGGAGCTCTGAGAAGGGCCTTTCCTTACCTAGAAGGTTATGTTGGTTTAGGTTCAAAACACTGAGGGAGCTGAGAAGCGTTAGTGTTTGCTGTTACCCAGTTTCTAAAAACAAATGTTTTTGGTTTTGAGGTGTCATCTTCATAACGTCTTTCTAGGATTAGGAAATTCTGAAAATAAGCCTTTTTCTGCCTTGTTTACCCTAATGCACTGAGACTCTTTTGTACTCTCAGGCTTTCTGCACTGTTCATATGGAGATTCTGTGTGTGGTTACTTTACATTTCAGAGCAGAGGGCAGGTTCAGTGTGTTGGGAGAGGAACTGAGGTGTTCTTTGGAGCTAGAAGCATATTTATTACATCCTTTGGGCCAACTTACTTTCATATCTGCATAAACTGTGGTTTTTAACCCCTGCAAGTCACTTGGCACCGTATTTTATACTCTAGTCAGGCTTGTTCAGAAGTACATCCTGGGATGAGATGACTGGTTTTGGGAGTGCAATCTCTATTTATCTCACCAAGGGCAATTCTCACCAGCTCACATAAGGGTTCTTCTGTACTACTGAAGCTATCTACAGCAGAGGTACACGGGGCTGACCCTTACCCTGTGGCTGTTGCCCATTCATTTTGATTATGTCTGCAAAAAGGTCTGCAGAAGTCATGAGTGACATGAAGAGGATGGATGGTGACTGAGTGTTCACAGGACAAGAAGGAAGGGCTTTCAAAGGAAGCTTGAAGTAGTTGGGCTCAAAACTAACAGAACGTGGTAACAAATCCATGGATGTTACTAAGGAATAGGGGTACAAAAACTGACATGGGTGGGGAGCACATACACATGGAAGATGGAGCTGTTGGCCGTTACCAGCCAGCCAGCCAGCTTTGGTCTTATGTAGTTCCCTGACCTCAAAATACTTGAAGGTTGGGAGGGTATTGATGGCAAGTATTGTATATGCTTGACCTGTGCTTCCTCCTTTAAGGTGTCGGTGGACACTGGGAAACAGGGTATGGGATTAGAGGGGTCCTTGCTTTGAACATGTCCTGCAGTTTTGATGATTGCAGTTGAACTGTTTCACCTATTTCTTTTAATAAAAACTTTTTCATTTTCTAAGAACAGATGTGTTTCTCATTTGATAATTTTATAATAAGATGGTACCAGAGTTAAATGAGATAAGATTTTTTTTTTGTTGGTGGTTTGATTTTTTTTTTTTCTTTTTTTTTCTGGAGACGGCTATTTTAAGAATTTCTGTATGATGTGTCTTGCAAGATGGATACTAGTTCGACAGAAGTTTATTTGTTTCTGTGTTGCACTATAGACTACACATTTATACCAGGTGGTTTGAATATGGGGTCTATTTCTGTAACTCCTACACTCCCTCCAGGGAGTGTAGGAAGGGGATCTGGTAGGCAGGATGAATTGCTTGTCTGCCTCTTGCATGTAAGCACAGCAGTAAGCCCCCAGCTTTACCTTAAGCACTGTAGCAAGTGTTCTGAATAGAGCCATGTGTGTTTAATGTCAAAGGCAAAATCCTGCCTAAATAAACTATGGAATTGGAACTGGTGCTTTTGTAACACACATCAATAGCAATGGATTTTAACGGGAATAAAGCAGCATGTAACAGGTCATAATTCAGCAAAAGCTTAAGTTCTTTTTTGAATCAAACCTACACTATGTGCAAGACAGGGCAGTCTAAAGTGGTCTAACAGCTTGAGTGCCTGAAGAAGTAACTGTACTGGGAGTGCTCTTCAGCTGTCTTACAGAACTCTAAATCAAGTTTTCAAAGAGTGAAGATGCTTACTCTCAGCTCCTACTTTAACTAAAGTCCCTTCAAGCTGCAAACATCTTAATCACTTCGCTTTAGTGACTGCTTTAACATTTGGCTCTGTCTCTCTGTTAGTTTAAGAAGAGATTTAGCCATGATCTTAGTGTGGAAAGACTGCATTTCCCTCTTTGTATAAATGTCCTTTCAGTTTGTATCTGCAAATCTCAGCAACAGTAGCAGTAAGTCCTAGCTTTTCACTGTTAGCAATACAAACCTCTTATAGACCATGGCAGCGGGCTGGATTCAATTCTAGCTTGTGCAGTATTACTGAAACAGAGCTAAAGTAGGACTGTGTTCTCTGCAGTGAAGACACTGGGCCTGGGGAGGTGTAATGAGGGAAGCTTTATTTCTTGTGATAACTGTGTGAGACAGCACGGTGGGATTTTTTTTTTTTTTATTTTATTTTATGAGAGGAGAGAGTTCACTTAGTGCAATCTGAAGTCACTGAAAAATGATAAACCTGAAACATCATGACAGTATCTTTCCTGTGTCAATTTTTGTAAACATGACATGGGTTTTCTTTTGATTTTCTGCAGAGTGGCATCCAGTTTACAGTTTTCTTCATCTGTAATGGGTGGAGATCATCCATCATTGCTAAGTGCCTTTAGACCTGTCTGTTTCAAGACAAGATAAGGGAGTATCAACTCTCATGCCCTGATAATTAAAGCTTTTAGGTACACTATGAAAATAATTCAAAGATAGCATTCCCAAAGAAAGAGCTTTTAAAAATGATGTCTCCCAGGGTATGTAGCCCCTCCCCACCTAGAAGGTAAAGAATACCCCTTTAAAAGTGACACACTTTGGCATAATTTGAAGTGTTTGTTTGCACTCCATGCGTCTATGACGAAAGTGATGAAGATTATGAATGTTAGGGCAGAGGGAAGTTGTCCCAACTTTATGGGTTTGTTTACACAATAAATATGAACTAAAGTTGTTAAAAGATTTACAAATTTTCCCTCAATTTGGGGGATAAAATCATAGTTTTTAACATTTCTGTACAAAAGCAGGGAAATCACAGCTCAGTGGCTCAATTCAACTGGAAGAACTCGATTTTATCTGTATTTAACAAAGCTTAGGTGGCATCACTCTGCTGCAGGTTGGAGTGGAAAGAAAAAAATACATGTCCTGAATAAACTATAGAATGTTTTAGTGGATACCTATAATCCCAGAATTAAGTTTTAGAAACCTCTGCAATGAGTTATATTCAGTGGAAAAGCAAAGATACTCAATGAAACCCAAACTAAATTGTGTAAAACTAATATAAAACGAATGCAATCTCTGTGTTGTCCACTAGATGATGCAACTGTATTACAGAGAAATAGGAATTACAGTATATCCACATGCAATTATAATCCTATTTACTGTGTTATATTTTTAGTAGTAAAAAAGTGTTGTCTTCAGTGATACACCATGGTTGGTATTAGACAAAGACTTGAAAACGTAATTTTCTTTCTGCTGGTTTCATGTGAAGCCTGAAGCTTTGTAATCTTTTATCTTTTATCAATTTTAATGTATTTTAGCTTTGTTGGAGTTGCTCCCCTCTCAAGTTGAATCGTGTCATTCTTCCCTGAAACTATCATCTGAGACATAACTAGTAGTTCAAATTATCTTTGTTACTTTAACTCAACCCTAATGGTTTAGCCTGTGGAGTTACAATGGAGAGCTGTCTGATCATGTGTTTTTTCTTCAGAGAT